CGTACTATAATTTTTAATTGACACAACCACAGATGTGTGTCATTTCTTTATATCCTCATGCGCTCTACCCCAACTAGATATACCGGCACTCCCACGACCACTCTTCAAATTCTACACTTCTAACTCATCAACTGAGTACTCTCTCTCATTTAAAAATCTTCTATATACGTAAATATAACCTAGGTGGATCTTATATATCAAATAGATAGCTATCTTAACGTGCACGTTGCTTTATTAATGTGCTTCTCTTCTCTCTCGAGTTTCTTGCAATTCAATCTTTGAAGCTTGACCAACCAAAACACTAAACTCCAAGTCAAAATTATTTTCAAACATTCTATACCCAAACACATAACTCGATACATACACGTTTTCAAAACTCTTATATTTGGTTACGACTCTTCATGAGTTTTGAAAAAGATTTTTGAAATATTTTCTATTAGAATTGTAATTTTAAAAGGAAATACCAAGCTGTGGGTCTAAAAAATATGTGTTTTTCGGTACACTCTCTCGTACTCCATGAAACGACTGCGATATTCAAAATTAATTTCAAAAACATAATATCGCGCCACCACAAATCTATTCGATTCATTCAAAACTCTCAAAACCAAAACTTTTTTTCAAACTCTAAGTGTGTTGGGAAGCAGTTCCCAAATTTTTTTCTCATTTTTTCCACTAAAGACAAAAGTTTTGCCTAACTTTTCAAACAAGCTTTTATAAATCTTACACTATATAAATTTAATTTCTCCTACACAATTATCTATTCAGAAAAATCTGAATGATGTGGGTTAGCATATTTTTTCTTTATATTTTTTATATATAAATTTTTAATCAAATGTTAAAAATTAAAATTAAAAAAATACAATTATTAAAAAAAAACTGAACAGAATATATTTAAACAATTTATTTTTATTTATCAACTTATATGCGAATATTTATCTTTTATTCAAAATTTATATTTAAACAAAATAAATAGTGTTTACTTATTAATATTTTTTTTAGTGGGCGAATCAAGATCAGACTCCAGAGATATATATATATATATATATATGTATAGCAACGAAGGTGAATGAATTACCTCTTTGCTAGCCATTCAAAAGTTATAAAAATTAAATGAAAATCAAAATTAAATAAAAAGAAAAAAGAAAGAGTAAAGACTTAAAGAATACAGAGATTCCTATAAGAAAAAACGAAGACGACGAAACAGAGAGAGAGCTGTGTGAGAAAGAGAGAGAAGAAAAAAAAAACCCTAGCCTTCTCTTTTTAAAAAAACACAAATGGAGGGACATGAGAGTGTTTGAATTAAAGCAAAATCATGGTAGAGAAGGAGCTGAAATGGACTACTTTGGAGGAGCTTTTGCTAGCGTGCGCCGTGAAACGCCATGGCCACAAGAACTGGGACTCTGTCGTCATGGAACTCCAGAACCGAACCTCTTTCTCTCTCCTATTGACCGCTCCAGTTTGCAGAAATAAATACTACGACCTCAAACGCCGCTTCATGGACGAACACGATGACGATGACGATGACAAAGAGGTTGATACTATTCCCTGGATTGAGGAGTTGAGAAAACTCCGAGTCGCTGAGCTCAAACAAGAGCTTCATCGATACGATCTTTCGATCCAGTAAATCTCCTCATTTTTTTCAAAATTTTCCGCTTAAAAATTTAAAAATTTTAATATATACAATCGTGTATGTGTTATAGACAACATAATGATATGTAATTCATGTATTTGTGTTTGGATCTGAGAGAGTCCGATCTGTATATTCAACAGTTCGTTGCAGTCGAAGGTGAAGAGATTGGAGGAAGAGCGCGAAAGGAGCTTGAAGGAGAACGAAAACGACGACGAGAAACCAGATCTGGAGAAGGATTTGAAGGAGGAGAGATCGGAAAACGAAAAAAACGACGGCGACGATACGCCGGAGAAGGTCGCCGTCGGTGGCTCAGACCGGTCGGTGAACGAGTCCAATTCGGCTGCGGTGAATGAAGAACGGAGAGATGCGATCGAGGCCGGAGACGTTAAACCGGATCCGGCATCGAGTGATTCGAAACCGGCCGGTGCGGATTCGTATAACGATAGCACGGATACGGTGGCTAAGCACGCGGCGGCGAGGACGAGTCAGGAGGAGAAAGGTGGTGGTGATCCGGCGGAGTTGCGGCGGGACATGGCGGCCGCGGCGGCGGGGGAATCGAAGGAAGGGACAAAAGAGAGCAGCGACGTGCAGAGCACGGCGAGTTTGACGAGGAAGCGACACCGTGAGAAGGAAGTTTCCGGCGGGAGTAGCGGCGGAGGAGGGGACGAGCCGGTGGTGTCTCCCGCCACCACCATCAAGCGGGGAGCGGTGAAATCGGAGCCGTTGGTTGGTCTTCTAGATATTATCCGATCGCACAAACACGGCTCGATGTTCGAGCGCCGGCTCGAAAGCCAGGTATGTTCCAGTACTACTCTCTTTCAAATTATACGCTGCATCACACCAATCTCATCTAATATCTACCGTTCGTTTCCGTATCATGATTTCTAACAATTGGGACCACCTTTGCTTCGTTATTTCTTAGTAATTTACTACTTTGTTACATGTCCAATCGCTAATCGTTCAAAATGAATTTGCATGTTGAAATTCCGAAAATGATCCAACGGCTAATATTCAATAGAGTAACGAGAGTACATGGCATTCACGTATCTTGGTCCACTTTAAAATTTTTTATTTTTCTTTTTTAACTTTATAAATTTAAAGATTAATGATTGATATAATTTGTTTAGTTCGACTTCATTTGAATCGTTCGAGAGATTTCGAATTTAAATTAAACAAATTCGATAAAAATAATATTGCTGAAATTTGAAATGACATTTGGCTTGATTTTTTTTTTGTTCGTTCAATTTTTATTTTTCTCAAATGATTTCTTAAATTATTTTTTTCTCCTACTAAATTAGAATATTTATACTTATATAATTGAACTATAAATAAAAATGTGAAAAATGTATATCAATAATACAGTAACTGAGGTGATTAGAGGCATTTACCTTATATTTGAATTATGAATTTAAAAAATAGAAAAATAAATGAAATATTAGTTACATTTTTTTTTTATTTTTCAAATTTTTATCAAAATTTATATTTCAAACACAATATTAAATTATTTCTACTCAATGATATCCTTATGCATACATTTTTATTATTTTTTATGGTTTAATTATGTATATAGGTACTCAAACTCATTTGATAGACATTGGCAATTTGGCACTATTTGAATTGTAGTTTCAATGGTGGCTACCAATGTTTTCACTTTTCTGAATTTAATTTTTTAAAAATTAAATTTAATATTTTTTTGAATGTTTTTATTTTTAGAGAATATTTTTAAAATTTTAAGTAATTTTTTTTTGGGTCATGATTGAGACCCGCTCCAATCACCACCCCTACCACCCCACACACACGTGGCGGGTGGTGATTGGAGGAGAAGGAAAAAAAAGAAAAAGAAAAAGAAAAACTGGCAAATCATGTTAAGAGAGGGTCAAAGGGGGTGGGAGGGAAAGGGGGTCCGGAACATTATTATTATTTTTTTTACTTGTTTAGATGCATTTACTAGATGGATCTAAATAGTAAAATATTTTTAAAAATTAATAAATACACAAAAATATGAAAAATGTACTGAATTTTCATATTTTTTTTTGAATGTTTGGTATTTACTGAATTTTTTCTTAAAAAAATGTCACAAGTATTATACTTTTTAAATGTATTTATATTAGGTATGTTTAAAATTTTTAAAAAATTACTTAAAATATTAAAAAAATTCAGTAAAAACAAAAAATATGAAAAACGAGAAAATAAAAATTTTTAAAAAGTGAATTCTAAAAATTGAAATCAAACAATTTTTTTCAACTTTAATTGTATTTGTAACAAAATTTGGAATGATTACAACTTCTGTGATTTTGCAGTTCTTCTAATTCTTTTGGGTAAATTACAAGTACACTCTTTGAAGTTTGTTTAAAATACGAATTGTTCCTTATGGTTTGGAAAAACCTCTCTGTCAGAATTTTTTATTTAACAAAATTAATTGAAAAAGTGAAAATTTTAATTGTTCACCTATACCATAATAAAATTATCTGAATTATTAATTGAAAAAAAGTTTTAACATTATTAAAAATTGCTAATTAATTTGATAATTTATTAATCAAAAGACTTATTTGTTATGAAATTAGAAACATTAGGAGACATTATGTAATTTTTAGAATACAGAAAATAATTTGTAATTTAAATAAATTTCAAGAAGTGTGTTTATAATTGACCCAATTTTTTTTTAGGAATTGATTAAAGTCACTTGTTTCTTCGTATTTTTAGAGGATTGGATTCACTATGCGTGAGATGGATAATTTTGAAAATTATTAACTAACAGTTTCATTTCTTGATATTCTGGTTTATAAATTGATAATGGGTGAGAAGGTTAAAAATAGAATGAAAATCAAATAACTAGGGTTATTTATACGGCGATCTCTAAAAGTGAAATATATTAATAATTTAAGAGATTCATTTGAATATTTTTATAATTTAAAAAGATAAAATAATATTTCTCAATAATTTATGAGATCTATTTATATGTTTTATAATTCAAAAAATGGGTAAATTATATAAATAATTTCTGTAGTTTACACGATATGTCAGTTTGGTTCTTATTGTTTCAATTTGTTCGATTTTATCCCTTAATTCAATGGATTGTGTCATTTCAGTCCAATAAATAACGGTTGTTAAGTGTAGTGAACGTAGGAGTGTAAAAATGGTCCGCGGCCCGAAGTTCGTCTACGTCTCGGGATGGGCCCGACCTGTTTAGGCTTGGGCCCGAGCTGAGCCCGAGCCCCTGGGCTTGAGCCATCATTTGGAAGCCCAACCTGGCTCGCTTGACCCGGCTCGTGGCCTAACCCATCGGCTTGCTTAAGGCCCAGCCAAAGCCTGGCTTGCCCAAGGCTCAGTGTCTTTTTTAGTACAAAATAATAAAAATTTGGTAGAAAAAATTAAAAAAACAAAAAAGAAAAATGGTCAAGCCCACCCAAGCCCGAGGCTAGGCCTAGGCCCACTGTGTCGGCCCACCTAAGGCTCGAATACCCTTGGCTTGGGCTTGGGTCTAATTTTTTTGGCTTGTGGGTCGGCCTGTCCCGAATTTTGACGGGAGCCTGCGAGGCCCAACATGGGCCGGGCCGGGCCAGATTTACACCCCTAGATGGACAGAAAGTCAAATTATGTGTCAATTTGGTCCCTATAGTTTACATAATGTGTCTTTAGTTCCTATCAAAATCGAACAAATTAAAACAACATAGACCAAATTGACACATTGTGTAAATTACATGGACCAAATTGACACATTATGTAAACTACAGTAATCAAATTGACACATTATGTAGACTTTCCATTCACCAAACTTAACAACCGTTATTTATTGGATTAAAATGACATAATTTGTTAAATTAATAGGCAAAATCGAATAAATTGAAATAATAAGGATCAAATTAACACATCATATAAATTATAAGGATCATTTGCATAATTTAACCTTTAAAAAATTAAGATGATGTAATAATTTAAGAATTTCTATATAAATAATGAAATTATAAATGCGTGATTATTCAACCTATTGGTAAGAGCAGACCATCAAACAATCCAAACATTAGGCCTTGGTGCATAGTGGATCCAGAGTACGATCCCAATATAGACATTTTCTTTTTTGGATATATTTATTTATGATTAGATTGCATTTTAAACTCTTAAATTATTTTCCAATTATCATTTTTTATCGTTAAATTCTAATTCTTTTCAATTTGATCTCTCGATTATTGAATTTGTATCAATGTTAATCTAGTTAATCTATCATCAGTTTTCTGACGTTATAGGTCCGTTTGTTTCGATATAAAATATTTTACATAAAACATATTTTTCTTGTAAATTAATTTTACATTAAAAAAATATTTTTGTTTTTGCTTTTCGATATTTGATTGACACTTGAAATAAAAATATTTTATTACTTGAAAGATAAATTTTGATTCAATAAATTGTCATTTATGATTTTCGAATGAGTGAAGATATTTATTTAAAAATATTAAATATATGAAAAATGTAGTAAGTGAGAGTCAATTATGTAAAAATTGACATGCGAAGTTTTTAAAGATAAGTTATTTTTGAAAAAATGGTGCAAAAATATTTTTTTAAAAAATGTTTTACTTGTTTTTTCCTTAACCAAGCAATGAAAAATAAGTAAAATATTTTTAATAAAATATTTTATATTAAAATAATATTAAAATAAACAGAGCCTAAATGTCGTGTGGCACTAATTTTTTTATATTTATTTTAGTACTTAACTAGCTAATCTATTTTTATGAATAATATTAGAAATTTCTAATATTGAGTTATTAAATGTCTCCCTCTATCGTAAGATTGAGTTACTAGTCGGTCTTTTAGATTTCTAACCAAATGTGAGACTTTTTTGTTTTCTCACTTTGACCATTTGATTCTGTGCCACATGGCATTTTTTTGTTATTTGATCACAGCTGCCAATTGGACCACACGCGACTAGCCTAAGCCTGTTCGGTATGGTTTGGGCTAACCAAATAATACTTGGTCTGGGCCTAGGTGTTGGGTGTGCCCAACTCGTTCGTTAACGTAACCTCTTTAGCAGATAAGAGGTAATCTGGAAAACCCCACATTAGCCTGCCATTTTTTTGAAAAATGAAAACCAGTCACTTGTTTAATTTTGATTAATTTCCTGAAAATGAATTTTTTTATTTTTCATTTTTTTGTTGTTTTAAGTAATTTTTTTTAAAAAAACTTTTTGTATTTATCTTTAATTTATTAAAATTTTATTATGAGAGAATTTGATAAAAATCCCCTCTATTTTAATGGATGGGATCATCAGTTATTTAATGTCATCTATTTTGGGGCGTTACATAGACTAGGTCATGTCAATTTTGACTCTTTACGCAAATTAATTAAGTTAGATTTTCCTTTTGATAATCCTTACTACCCTGGAACTTTGTGAGTATCTTGTTGTTGTTAATCATTTTCTCTAAGTTATTTGGATGCAATCCTACTGTGTTCCATGGTGTTGTTTTGCATTGTTGGGTGTTGGAGGGATTCCGGGAATGATGGAAATGCATTTAGGTGGCTGATGCCTCTATTCTGAGTTGGGACCGCTCGTGCAGCACTTTCGTTGCTCCAATGGTAATGTCTATCTTCTAGTATCTCGTTTTGCAGTCTAAACTTGTCAAAGTGTGTATTCTTCACTCGAACGAGGGTGTCATCGCTCAAGCGCGAGATTGTTTACTTGAGTAGTCTTTCTGCAATCTGCTTTGAAAAATGTGTCCAATCACTTAAAAGTTGAGACCATCCACAAGAAAATCTCCAA